GCCTACCTGAAGGACATCACTGGACCCTTGCTGGATCCTCTTCAGTTTGCCTACAGAGCAAACAGGTCTGTGGATGATGCAGTCAAAATGGGACTGCATTACATCCTGCAACACCTCGACAGACCTGGGAATTATGCAAGGATCTTGTTTGTAGACTTCAGTTCAGCCTTCAATACCATCAAGCCTGACCTTCTCTCAGCCAAACTGACCCAGCTTAGCGTGCCCACCCCAATCTGTCAGTGGTTCACCAGCTTCCTGACAGACAGGCAGCAGCTAGTGAGGCTGGGCAAACTCGCATCCAAGACTCTCACGATCAGCACTGGTGCCCCTCAGGGATGTGTGCTCTCCCCACTGCTCTTCTCCCTGTATACAAACAAATGCACCTCTAAAGACCCCTCTGTCAAGCTCCTAAAATTTGCAGATGACAGTCATCGGCCTCATCCACAATGAAGATGAGTCTGCTTACAGACAGGAGGTTAAAAAGCTGGCTGTCTGGTGCAGTCTTAACAACCTGGAGCTGAACATGCTCAAAACAGTGGAGATGATCATGGACTTCAGGAGAAACCCCCCTGCTCTCCCCCCACTCACCATCATGAACAGCACTGTAACAACAGTGGAGACATTCAGGTTCCTGGGCACCACTATCTCTCAGGATCTGAAGTAGGACATCCACATAGACTGACACTTTTATACATAATATCTGGAAATTGTATATTGTAAACTACATAAACAGTACACTTGTAAATAACATATCTGTACATTCATGTAAACATTTATATGTTTTTTCTCTATATTTCTATTCTGTATACAGTGCATTATTTATTTTTCTGTTTTTCTTATATTAGTGCTAGTTAATCTTTACTGTGTAATTCCATGTATGTCTGCACTATCATGTATGCTTGCACTATGTGTGTACTTTCTTCTACATTGGAAGCTCCTGTCGCCAAGTCAGATTCCTTGTGTGTGTAAACATACTTGGTAATAAAGCTCCTTCTGATTCTGATTCTGTAAAAATGTTGCTGTATGCAGTCGTGCTGTTGGTGTCGTGCACAGTAACCTACTGTATATTACGCATTCCTTCTGATTGCAATGTAGTAGTATTCAAAGACCTACACTACCAGTCAAAAGTTTTTGAACAGTAAGATTTTTGATGTTTTTTTTAAAGAATTCTCTTCTGCTCACCAAGCCTGAATTTATTTGATCCAAAATACGGCAAAAGCAGTAATATTGTGAAATATTTTTTTTTGTTTAAAATAACTGCTTTCTATTTAAATATATTTTAAAATGTAATTTATTCCTGTGATTTCAAAGCTGAATTTTTAGCATCATTACTCCAGTCACATGATCCAGCAGAAATCATTCTAATATTCTGATTTGCTGCTCAAAAACATTTATTATTATTACTATTATTATGCTGAAAACAGCTGAGAAGAATATTTTCAGGTTTCTTTGATGAATAGAAAGTTCGGAAGAACAGCATTTATCTGAAATAGAAATCATTATCATTATAAATGTCTTTATCGTCACTTTTGACCAATTTAAAGCATCCTTGCTAAATAAAAGTATTAATTTCTATTATTTCTTCCCCCACCAAAAAAACTTGTTACAAAAGCTTTTTATTTCAGATAAATGCTGATCTTTCTATTCATTTCTATTCTAAGAATCATGAAAAAATGTACTCAACTGTTTTAAATATAATAATAATATTAATAATAAATGTTTCTTGAACAGCAAATCAGCATATTAGAATATTTCTGAAGGATCATGTGACACTGAAGACTGGAGTAATGATGCTGAATATTCAGCTTTGAAATCACAGGAATAAATTACATTTTAAAATATGTAAAAAAACAGAAAACAGTTATTTTAAATAGTAAAAATATTTCACAATATTACTGCTTTTGCTGTATTTTTTATTAAATAAATGCAGGTTTGGTGAGCAGAAAATAATTATTTAAAAAACATTAAAAACTTACCGTTCAAAAACTTTTGACTGGTGTATGTGCCTCTATTTCTGCTTAACCTGCACAAAAAACTGCTTGAACCAGCCTAACCAGTCAAATGGCTAAGAACCAATGCTGAGGATTAGGATGTCCTAATATGAACACATTAGTATGTATGGGGCTTGTGCATAATAAACTCATAAATAAGGCAAGGACACAGAGAAAGAAGCTCTTTGCATCAGGAATGTCCTTACTCTTGCAGATCGATGTTTCAGCTGTTCTCTTCAGTGCACCCCCCATCCCATCTGGTGCACCCTTGCCATGACTTGACAAGAAAACATTGGCAGTGCATTTGTAAGTCCAGATCAGCAAAATGAATAGGAGAAAACAGTTAGCAAAGGATGCAGTGTATTTGAAAATTGTTACTTTTTTGCCTGAAATTGTATTATTTTTTTAATGTTCATAATAAAGGAATAATGAGGATTATGTGTCATACCTGGCGGAGGTGTGAAAGAGTCATCAATGGGGCAGTTTGCCGAGCCAGACATGAGGAGACAGCATGCAGGAGAGCTTACAGAGGGCCATAAACTTTTTTATTAGCCTTTTATTAGCCTTCTCTAAAAACACACATGACATGGTCTTACAAAATGTTTCATAAAATGCAAATGTTTTACAGATAATGTCCTCAGATTTTAAATGAAGCATGAGTAGACTTGTGGTTTTAGCTTCATTATGTTGCTGTGGTAAATACTTTTAGAAACACAATTTTTTATACATTTAAAAAATATATATTTTAATTTTTTAATTTTTGTTTTTATGTTTGAGCTTATATATCGCTATTATAACAATCTGAGTAATTCTGATTCTTGAACAGTAAACTTTGAAGTGTCAGCTTTGTGAACATATGTTGATTATGTATCTAGTCAGAAAGACTCATGAGCAGCAACCTTTTTATTTTGGGTATGTCATGTTGTGTCTCCAAGCCAAAATGGGGGGGGTATATTTAAGTTTTTTTTTTTTTTTACTTCATTTAAAAGGTACAAAATCTTTGGCATAAGTCTGATTTCATCAATTAAAAGAACAAAAACAGTGACAGAGAATGTTATTAAGTAATGAGAGTTAATCATGTGTATTAACTTATTCACACAAGGTCATCACTGGTGTTCACGTGATTAGAAACACCGGTGATGATTTTCATAAAAAAATGGATTTTACAACTACATAAACAAAAGCTACAATCAAACCACATGTTGCAAATCATGCTATACCCTCTAAAAAATCCCTTATAAGAATGGGTTATATCAGTGACCTCAACAGAAATCTTGCATGAAATTATGAGACAAGTAAGAATATTTCTGATAACTGAAAAGAGACAGCAGACTTGTCACGTGCCTTTCTTGGTGGATCAACAAGACATCGGATTGTCTGATTGTCAAACTAATATCATGTGGACTATTGTTGTGTTTGCAGGCTGTCTGGCTGTATGGTGACAGAGGAAGGCTGTGGTTATGTGTCTTCAGCTCTGAGTTCAAACCCCTCACACCTGAGAGAGCTGGATCTGAGCTACAATCACCCAGAAGATTCAGGAGTCAAGCTTCTCTCTGAAAAACTGGAGGATCCAAACTGCTCACTGGACAAACTCAAGTATGTTGAGCATGTTATTTCAAGCATAAACAGGGCTCTAGACTTATCTTCCCACTGGTCCCACTGGTGCGACTAGCTTTCTCAGTTGATCGCACTAGCACATGATTTGGTTGCACTTTTTTTGCTACAACATGGGATTAGTCAATGCATGCTGATGAAGAGTTTTTCCGTTATCAGAAGTTTATAGTTATATGGTAACAAGAATCAGAAATCTCACACTTTTTACCTTCTGCATGGGCATGTTGAACATTAATGTGACCAATTAGGATATTGGTAGGTCTTCCATTATTAATGACACGGCCATAGACAATTTCACATTCTTTGGTGATGTCCGTATCACCTTCAATCATAAACGATAGATAGTGGGTGGAGGCAATATTGTCAGCCGTCTTTTTTCCGAAGATTGTCTGCTATCACTTCTATAAATTGGGCACAGGCCATGTCGTTGGCATAGGTATGATTAACTATCAACCTGTTCTGTTTCATCAGTATCATTTGTGATTTGAATTTTGTGAACAGGAGTTCCTCTTTTGCTCAGTTATAATTTTTTTATTATTTGCTTCAGACGCTTTCTCTTTCGCTTTTGAATTCACGATCTTGGTGTCACGTTTTACAAGAAAAGATAATTGTCTGTTGCGCTTACATCTATACACCTTTCACTTTTTAAGACTAATGGACAAATAAGACAAATGGTTGAAAGATGGATTCATTGTTATTCTTAATGTGAAGCACAACAAAAATAAAACAGTAGGCTACAATGACAAACTAGCTTGTATAACAATACAAGCTAGTTTTACATTTCGCTTGAAAACCAAATCCTTCATCCACCATTGTTTCCTCAGCATTCGCATAATTTTTGCCACGTGCAACTTTGCAGTTGTGCTGCTAAAGCTTCCTTCTCTATCTGCGCGTAGTGCTTTTCTGCTTCTGACAACCCTCGGGAAATGTAGAACACCAGCTTCCATAGTCCATTCTTAGGTTGTTCTTGGGTCAGCACTCCTCCTAACCCAAACGACGAAGCATCTGCTGACAGTCTAGTCTCATATGTTGGGGAGTGCTGGGCCTACACTGGCGTTGAGCTGAGCTCTTTCTTTAGTTTCTGAAAGGCCTCTTGCTGGGGTGTATTCCAACACCATTCATTCTTTTCTGACAACAGATCTTTCAATGGGCATGTGAATGAAGCCAGGTGTGGCACCAATTTGCCCAGATAGTTTGCCATGCCCATGACCCTCCTAACATAAGCTACACAGCTGGGCTCAGGCATATCTATTATCGCTCTCACCTTGCTAGGATCAGGTGCAATTCCATCTGAAGTAACACTGTGTCCATAAACATTACCTTGTCCTTGGCAAAGACACATTTCTTATTCAGTGTTAATCCTTTCTCTTCAAGTCTGCTCAGAACCTGATGCAATCTTTCGTTATATTGCTATAGGTTTTCCCCATACACCACAATATCATCTGTATGACAAACTACTCCTGCGCAGCCCTCCAGCATCTGTGTCATACGATGCTGGAAGTGTTCCGGGGCCGATGAAATCCCAAACGGTAACCGGTTAAAAGCGTACCGGCCAAATGGCGTGATGAAAGTGGTCAGGGGCGAACTTTCCTTTGCCAGGGGAATTTGCCAAAACCCTGACGTGGCATCAAGCTTCGTAAAGACTTTAGCCTCGACTAACATGGCTAGCGTATGATCGACTGCTGGTAAGATGTGCCTCTCACGATGCACCCACTTGTTCAGGTGAGTTAGATCTACGCACAATCTAATTTTCCCCTGAGCTTTAGGCACAACTACCAACGCTGCACACCATGGAGTCGGCTCGATGACCTTGGATATCACTCCTATGGATTCCATGCGTTGCAGTTCAACTTTCACTTTGTCTCGCAGAGGGAGTGGAACTCTACGTGGAGATGACAGTGCATAAGGTATGGCTCCCTGCTCTTGTTCAATCTTGTACGGCTCTTTCAATTTTCCCAGCCCTTTGAAGACAGCTGGATAGTTAGCAACAAAATCTTGGCGTGTAATCAAATGCAAAGCCTCTATTGCTAGAAGTCCCAACAGTGCTTTGGACAGTCCTTTCACTACGTAAATGTCTTGTTTAGTTTGTTTATTTTTGATGTTCAACACTCCCTGGAATAGGCCCTGAACATCGAGGGCCTGGTTCCCGGGCCCATACAGGATTTTGCCGGGTGGCTGGAGTTTGCCATGAATGTTTGCCGAAAAACTGCTTTCTGGGATTGCAGTAACTGCTGCGCCAGTGTCCAGCTTGAGCTCAGTGTTTTGACCATTCAATCTGACCAGTTCAATCCTCTCACTTGTCTCTATTGGACTCACTTCTCCCAGGAAAGCATTGTACGGCTCTTTCAATTTTCCCAGCCCTTTGAAGACAGCTGGATAGTTAGCAACAAAATCTTGGCGTGTAATCAAATGCAAAGCCTCTATTGCTAGAAGTCCCAACAGTGCTTTGGACAGTCCTTTCACTACGTAAATGTCTTGTTTAGTTTGTTTATTTTTGATGTTCAACACTCCCTGGAATAGGCCCTGAACATCGAGGGCCTGGTTCCCGGGCCCATACAGAACTTTGCCGGGTGGCTGGAGTTTGCCGTGAATGTTTGCCGAAAAACTGCTTTCTGGGATTGCAGTAACCGCTGCGCCAGTGTCCAGCTTGAACTCAGTGTTTTGACCATTCAATCTGACCAGTTCAATCCACTCACTTGTCTCTATTAAACTCACTTCTCCCAGGAAAGCAAAGTATTTTATGTTCTGCTCTTCTCGCTCCTGCGTGATGTCATTAACCGTTCCAGCTGACCAACACTGCTTTGCAAAATGTCCCTTTTTGTGGCATTTACGGCATTCCGCTTCACTTGCAGGGCACTCTCTCCAATTGTGTCTCTTTATATTTCCACATTTTCCACACCCAGTTGATTTACTGTCTTTATCCACTTTGCTGGGTCCCCTTTGTTTTGGCCATTTCACTTTCTTTTGTGACGGTTTTGGTTTTGAACTTAAAGCATGAACGTCCCCTGTTATTTACACTTCACATGAACTTCCACGCAGGATGGGCTGCTGTCTCTTCACAGCCTCACTTTGCCTCACTTTAATCATGGCTTTTTCCAGTGTGAGCTCAGGATCAAGTTGCAAACTTTCAGACAGTCTTGCATCCTGTATTGCAACGACAATTCTGTCTCTTATCAGTTTGTCTCTTAAGGGTCCAAACTCACAATGTTCTGCCAGTGCATGTACTGCAGTGATGAAAGCTTCTATACGCTCTCCTGCTTCTTGATTACGTCTGTTAAAACGTGCACGTTCAAAAATCACATTATGTTTGCTTACACAATGTCATGTGAACGGCATTTTCACTGTCTTGTGTGAATTTTCTCCTCCTCAGACGGGAAGAACATTCAGGATATCTTCAGCTTCGTCACCGATGGTATACATAAATGTATTAACCTGATATTCTTGTGACTGCTTGTCTATACCTGACGCAAATCTATAACGCTCAAAGCATCGCATCCATTTGGGCCAGTCACTCATATCGCTGAAATCAAACTTGCCTGGAGGCATCAGCGACGGCATCAGATGTGGCTCACTTGCTGCTTCATCTTCCATTGTCATCTCCTTTTATTTTTCTTGCTGTTTCTCACCAGCTCAACTGTCTTCTTTTCTCCGTCTCGCTCACTCGCGACTTCTCTGATCTCCGCTTTATCTCGCGTCTTCTCCGATCACTTTAATCTTCGTATCCATCCGCTTAACAGAGACGTGCTCACACACTCTCCCGAGTATTTATAGTAGCATCGTAACTAACTGGTTTTCTTAAACTTCTGACACCATATTATGTTAACATGTTATGTTAACTGGAAGCACCCCATAGGAAAAACTTATTGCTCAGTGGTTGCTTTTCCTAAGCTCAGGAGACTTAGATGAGATTCTATGGGAGATCTCTTTATTGTCTTGATATAATCTCTTGCAAGACTCCATTATAAAAATGTTTTACTGCTCAGAGGTTGCTGTTGCTTTTTTATTGCAATGGGGTTTTTCACCTTTAATGGTCAGGACAGTAGGAGTAGAGACAGGAAACAATTGGACAGGTGAAAATTGAACAGGAGCAGGAGAGTACCTTTAGCTGGGATTCGAACCAGCTAAAGGTTATGGCTCTGACAGAGGTTACTCTATGCTCAGGATACTAAGGGGTGATTCTCTTATGTCATTGAGATAACAGCATTGTCTTAAGATGTCTTCCGTTTTATTTTAGGAGAAACTTTAAACTTTTACTAATACTGTAAATACTAAAACTATCATTAACCCTCTAAGTGCCAAAGTCGCAAAATTGCGACAAGACGTCATACTTAATAAAATAGACTGTAGTTCCTAATATGGTGTAATATCTCATTTGTATTCCCTACCACTAGATGGTAGACATGTAGATTCTAGACCAAAATTACGTCACGTTCCTATTCAAAGTATTCAAAGGAAAAAGCAGAGCAAGTGAGCTATCGTGTCATTGATACGGACGCAGTTCAGTTCATAGCCTCTGAGTAAATTGTGAGATTTGTGAGAGAAAATCGCCAAATGGCTAATAAAAAGTTGTACCGTGAGGATGTGTTGCAAATGTTATTCGCCGATTCTGACTCTGAAGGGGAATATTTGCCTTTTGGAAATGACGATTGGTCGTCTAATAATTGCGCTACTCCCGGTACATCTTTGCAGCGCAATGGTGAGAGTGTTCACGAAGCACAAACAAGTGATCATTTCGACCCTTTGCCTAACGGGGATGGGGGTGGCAGGGGTGGACGTGGTCGTAGTGTCCATAGGAGAGCTGTTGCTAGAGGTAGAGGCAGCAGGGTAGGAGAAATAGGGGCTGGAAGTAGCACTAGCTCTTTGGATCCAGTCAGAGCGCTCTGGATCCAGTGCCCCAAAGAGGTGGGAGTGACCGCGGTACACGGTGCAGTCAGTGTGGGGTAGGTCTGTGCGCTGTGTTAAACAAATGTAACACTAGTGTA